GAGACTAGCAGCAGGCCTACAATGTAAAATTAAGTTGATGGAATAGGTAATCAGTATGTTTGTTGTCTGAAAGAAACAACATGTGTTTTCTTAAGCAACCATTTTGGAGCTGAAGTTCTGTTATTTATCACATTTCTGATCACCCTACCTAAAAGTCTATAATAACAAGAACATACATTATACAAGTGAGATGAACCAAGAAGGTCCAGAAGACCACAGTATTCTTTGCTCTGGCATGAGTAGGCTGTGCCTGAAATGCCACATTAATCCATCACAAAGGCCACTAGAAAGACCTGACCAGGCAGTGAGATGAAAACAGAGTGGTGCTAAACGATGCAGCAAGTTGCAAGGCTTATTTGGCACCAAACATACATTCATAGTAGTCCTGAAATTTGTCTGTTTTAGAAGGTTATATTTTTCCTTGTTGCTTTTATAAACACACTGGGCACACCTGTATTTAAAGCATTGAGTCAAGAACCATTTTCAGGATACAATGTTACAATTTGATGTATTAAGTCTATAGTTACATAATAATTTTGAACTTCCTACCCAAAAGCTTTGCTTGTATAATTCATGTCCTCATCTTTTCCTGGCTTCTTCTGTTGAGCATACAAAACAGATATAGCCCTTATGGAGATTTCACATCACCAACTAGTTACTCTGTAATGTCTGTTTGTCCAAAGCAGCAGTTGTAGAAAATGTTCCCAGTTTGCCATAGCAACAGAGACCTAGAAAAATACTACAGCTTTGTCTTCTGTATTTTTATGTGAAATAGGAAGTCTCTTCCTTTTGCTTTTCTTGTGAAACTATTTGAAGTTGGCAAATTAGTCTTACATTTGGGAGGGAAAAAACAAAACAAAACACGAAGCAACCTTGAAGCAGTGCTTGTAGTTGTAGACTATTACTTTGAGCCAAACTGATAGTGCTATTTTAAAAGACCAATATATACCTTTAATAAATTTTAGTTTTTAATTTCTAACATTAGTTAGCATGATGGTGGTAATCAGGCCAATTGCCATGAAATTTCTTTTTCTAGGAAACCTCATTAGAAATCTTGTTATGCAACTCTAAACATTTTCTTGATCTTCGTTTACAACCCATATTGTGGATACCAGTTCTTTGATTTACCTGAGGGATTTGTTCTATGCTATGAATAAAACATAACTATACTTTCTTTCATTTAAAAGAATCCTAATTTTTATTGTAATTTTAGTAGATAAAGGTACTAGTATAGTTATTGCTAACAGCCTTTATAATTTAAAAAAAATGTGCAACACATGAAAATCAATTCTGTTTTTATTTACTCTTTAAAAAAAAAAAAAAAAGGAAGCCAAGAGTAAGCATACTGCATTGAGGATAGTAAACATAAATTGATCCTGTAGCCACAGCAGACTTAGCACTCCTGGTGTCTTGGTTCACATCTGTTTAAGTTATCTGTTTTCAGTTCTTTGTTTCCTTGGCCAAAAAAGGAAAGGCTATTTTATTGAAACTCGTAACAGTAACTCCATTTCAGTATGCTAGTTGAACTGGTACTGAAAAAAACCCCACAGAATTGCTCTTGATAATGGATCTGATTTTTCTGTGTGTTATCTGTGAAATAGTTGTGTATTGTTAATTCCTAGTCCCTTCAGGGCCTGTACTCTGCATCTTTTTGAGTGTTTCTGATTGGCGCTATCTCTGAAGAGCATTATTGCAATGTAAGTGTTATGAAATCTTAATTTAAAAAACACATATTTGTGCTTATGGAAGTGTTCTTTCACCATGCTTGCAGCTCATAGTATTAATACTATAGATTAAAGGCATGTTTGGTGAAAAGGGGAGTCTTATTTTAGTATTACTTTTTTTGTTGCTACAGTCATTGTAGTCATTCTCCAAGATTTAAAGTCTGGTTACAAATAATAAATTTTTTTCTGCATTATGGCCATACCTCCTCTTTGTTTTTCTCCAATGTGGCTGCTCTTTGCAATCACCTTCCAGCCATAGGAGCTTTCCCTTTCGCTGATTTCCTTTTTCACATAATGACATAAATGACTTATTTAATAGCTAATCATGTAGCTAATGGCATTTCTTACACTTAATTCACTCTTTCAGCCTCAACTCTTTCACTGGTGAAAATAAAAGTATCATTTCTCTGAGACCAGTCCTACCCTGTCCTGCTGTCCTGACTTCCTGGGACCTCACTCAGTTGATCTGTCTTCCACTTCCTCAGATTTTCAGAGTTTTTTCTTTTTTTTTTTTTTCCTTTTTTTTTTTTGCAGTACTGGAGTTTGAACTCAGAGCCTACACTTGAGAAATATTTGCCCCGGCTGGCTTAAAACTGCAATCCTTCTGGTCTCTGCCTCCTGACTAGGTAGGATTAGAGGCATGAGACACCAGTGCTCAGCTGAGTTGTTCTTTATTAGTTCTTTTTTTGTTTTCTTTGTTGACTTGTTCCCTCCCCACCTTTTTTTTTTTTTTTCAAAGAATATTTGGCTCTTCATACAAGTTGAAAGAATAATACAACTAGCACCCACTCACAAACCTTTTGCTTAGATCTTACGAACTGTATATCTGATCAAATTTGTGCCCATTCTCTGTCTATATACCTATAGTATATAGTATACTAAAGTATAGTATAAACCTATACTTTTTTCTGAACCATTTGAAAATAAATGAGTTTTAATCCCTAAATACTTTAGCACATAGCTCCTGAAAATAAGGACATTTGAACTAGAGAGTTTCCTTCATCTTTTAAGACAGGAGAAGGATGTTCTGGTAATGAGAATATGACTGCTATTTCAATTCATCAGTAAAAAAATAGAAGACGTATATGGCAATGTATATGACTTAAGCCTAAATATATGAGTTAGTCCATTCATAATTCTAGAGCATATATGCTATTTGCTTAATACAGAAATTATGGCACCAGGTGCGTTTTTCCTAGTTTTTTATATCACTTTATCATATTAGTTTAGAATAAAAACATATAATTAAAATAGTAATGTTCTCATTTGCTAATTACTTTTTTGATAGTTCAACCTTGGTGTATTTATTTCCAATAAAATTTATTTTTAAAGTTAAAAAAAAAAATTTACAGAAAAAGCCCTCTGACCTCATGCTATTATTACCCAGCTTTTGCCTTCTGCTACATTTTTTTCTTTGGTTTTATAACTAAATTTAACAGAATTTTATGTCACTTTTTGTATTTCCTCATTACCCACTTAGGCCCCATACTGCAGTGTTGCATCCATTGTATGTTGTTAGAGGTTCATTGGAATTAAAAAGACTTCTTTTCATCCCATCACTGGGATGGTGAGACTCATTAGCATCTAATACCATCCATAACCCCTTCTTGGAGTCTTTCTTTGGAGTCTGTGAAACTGCATCTCATATGGGTTACTTCTCAATTTCCATAGTGAGCTCTCTTTTGTTTAGTCCAAAATGTCAGTATTTGTCAGGGTTTGTTTTCCTCCATGTACATTCCTAGGGTGATTTCATCTTATTTCCATGACTCTTTCTACCTTAGGCCAAGGCCTCCTATTTCTCTTCCAGGTTATTTTCACAGTCCCTAATTTCCTGCTTTTTATCTTTTCGCTCCCAAAAGTGTAGTGATCTTGCTAAATGAAAGTTGGATGCTCAGATTACTCCTTTGCTTAATCTTTGGCTGGTTCCCATTTGTCATAGAATACAGACTCATAGTCCAAGATTCCAGGAACCTTTACACTACAATTGCCTCTTCAGCTTCCTAAATCCTTTTTCCCAGTTTTGTACTTCTGTACTTCTGGTCTGCTGAATTTTTGGCAGTTGTTTAAATGCATCATTTTTTTTTTCTTTTTTGTTTTGCAGTAATGGAGTTTGAACTCATGGCCTCAGGCTTGCTAGGCAGATGCTCTACTACTTGAGCCACTCTACCAGCTCCACATTTTTCATAGTAGGGTGTCTGAGCTTACTGCTAATGCCGATTTTCTGTAGTATACCTTTCTGCCTTCCCTGACTGGCTATTGTGAGCTCTGTTTTAAAACCTCAAAATTTAGCTGTCAGATAATCTGGAAACGTTTCACCTGATTCTACCAAACTATCCTTTATATGCTTGTTTTGTATCTGTCTTACAGCACTACCTCTACTCTTTTGGGTTTATCTCTTTACTTTCTTCTCTTGATACTGGAGTGTGTTAACTGCAGCAATGTCTTATACAATTTAATCCTTAGTATCTAGCAGAGTGATGGGCAAAGTAATTACATCCTCGATGCGTATTTGAAAGAATGAATATGAGATTCAGTATTGTTAAATTTAATTCCAAAGTTATTTGGGAAGTAATGTGACTAATCAGTGGATCTAGCTACTGGAAAAAAAAATTGTTTTAAATCCTTATCTTGTACCATATGCCCAAACATTTGAGTCTGAGTGGATTAAAATCAAACTATTAAGAAATTAGCAGAAGCAAATACTTACCTAGTTTTACAGAAGAGGAAATAGTTTTAAATTTAAAGTGATTGAAAAAGTGCAATGCAATAAGATAAATACGAAATAAAATCTAATATTAAAGAAGTACTGGATTAGTCTTAGACAGGTGAAGTTACTGGGCCACAGTAATCTAGTTACCACCAAACAGTGATTAAAAGGTAAATATATTCATACACATACACAGAGTTCTGTGCTCTTTCCACTATTTAAGAAAGAACTGAGGCAAATTAGGGGTAGGGTTGTAAAGTACTGAATTTAAATTAAAACTTTTTATAAAATGTGTATTATGAATATCTCACTGGATGTATTTAATAATTCCTGTGTAACACACTTAATGCTCTCACAATAAGAAACTGAACTGTTTCCGACACCCCTGAGATAACAGTGATGAGTTTGGCATAGAAAGTTTTATACCGAGATAAACTCAGAGTCTTTACCCTTGTTTTTATGCATACATGTGTTCTTGTTCTATTAGCAAAAGGCAAATCAAATTAATATCTCAGAATTGTTTAGAGCAGCAGCAAGGCCACAGCATAAAGAATGACATGTCAGTGTATTTACTTTACATTTCAGCAATCATTTGGGGAAGAATCTACAGTTGCTGATGGACAGAGTGGACGAAATGAGCCAAGACATAGTCAAATACAACACATACATGCGCAATACTAGTAAACAACAGCAGCAAAAACATCAGGTTTGTATTATGGAAAAATCCAGCATACATTTAGTCAGTCATTCATGGTGGCTTCAAGAATTGTCTTCAAGATGTTGTAAATTATTTGTGATAAAGCATTGGCTGTTAGCTGATAACTCATTTAAAAGATTATTCTCTTTATATAGTATATTTCCATTATTTACATATTATACTTAAAAATACCTGTCTCAAAGAGAGCTGGTCTATTAAGCTCAGAGTATAATGTCACAGTTATGCAAATAAGAGATACATTTATTGAGCAAATCAGAGGCAAAGAGATTCCAGAGTGTCACAGCTCATTTCTTTACTAACTATAATTGGTTTGGTAGTGGCTCATTATAGCATAGTTAGCAAATCTTCAGTTCATTTAAAAAACTGAGCAATTGTGATTAAGAGCAAGCAATTTTGATAGGAAATAAAGGCCAACTGCTGTGAAGTAGATAGTATAATGTAGACAAAAACTGTAGAATCACCTGAATATTCTTATATACACATACATACTGCTATGTGCCCAGTTAACCTTTTCTTTATTAGTGTTGCCTGAAGGCTACATGGTTTTCATACTTTATGGAATAGTGTTTTTGACTGTATTGCTGTAAAATGGTCTTAGTATTTAATTCATAGATAAGTTGCTTTCAGAATGTTTCTTTCCTATGAAAATAGTGCTTATATGTGAGTACTCTGCATTTATTAAAAACAGGGTTGTTGGGTTGGGCATGGTGGCTCATGCCTATAATTCCAGCTACTCAGGAGGGAGAGATGGGAATATTGTGATTTGAGACTAGCCTGGGCCAAAGGTTAGTGAGACCCTATTTCAAAAACGCCATACACATCTGTAGCCTCAGCTATGCAGGAGACCTTGGTAGGAGGATCTGGTCTAAGACCAGCCCCAGGCAAGAGCATGAGATCTTACCTGAAAAATAAAATAAAATGGGCTTGAGATTAGGCTCAAGTGGCAGAGCCTTTGAGTTTAATCTTCAGTACTGCCGAATGAATGAACGAAATATATACCGGGTGTTGTTAAATGTAGAATTCTAAGCACAACTAAGTGATTCTGGAAACATTCTATTTTTAAAAATTTAAATATCATTTTGTATCTATACTTAATGAAATTTAAATGTGCTGTTTTTGCCACAGTTGAATTGAGAAAACGTGTAAATCTTTATCTTTTTGATGGCACTGGGGTTTGAACTCAGCCTCACACTTGCTAGGCAGGTGCTCTTGTATCTTTTTAACTGAACATAATTATAGTTACAAGTTCCTGATAAACTGATGGGAAAGGGAACCCCAGCTGGATTTCATTCTCTTGCTGGATTTTCCTGTAGGTAAAGGACTCAAGTAGGATAGCAAATTGAATATCCATCTTCTGTCAGTTAATTCTGGAAATCAATTGTCACAGTTTTAATGTGCTAATTTTTTGCATTTGATGTGTATTCATACCAGTACCATTCATAACCCTATTTAGGTTTGTCTTACTTTCCCTCTCATACCCCATAATGAGTAAAGGAATCTTTGCAAAATAAGTTACCCCTTTAAAAAAAATTTTTACAGGCAATTAATTTAACACTTTATTACAAAATAGATATTTTGTTAGACAGTTTTTCCCAGCTTTAGGTAATATAAGTGATTGGGATATTTTAATACAAGTATGCAAAGGTTTAATGTTCACATGATTAGATTTATTAAATACATATTTCACTTACGTTTATACATTACTGTTGGTTTATGGAAACATAACCCATGAGAAATTGAGCATCTGTATTTATGGAGAAGTGTCCAGTATGTTGTAGGAAATATTTGAGTGTTTTGCATTGTAAATAAGAAAGGCCAAAGTAGGTCCAAATGACTGGAGTTGGGCTTACACTCACACAGAGTGCATCTCGAAGAGTGTGCAGTGCTCCTTAGTGACTAGGATGGATAAGCACAAAGACACGCAGTAAATATATCTAAAACTGGCAAAACACAGTACATTCTAAATCATAAAGATCGCTATTGTGACTGACTTGCACTTCTCCAGAATTAGTCTTCCCTATATTCCATTATTCCAGTCTTCCAGGTAAGAACTATTATGATGACACAGATGAAATTGCAGTCACCCATTCAGTGCATCCAACATCTGGGGACACCTCTAACTACATTGAATTGGGATTGGTCCACTCACAAGAAACACTAGTTCTCCCCAAATTTTTCTGGAGAATGCTTTAGCTAATGAACCGCATTGTTTATGGTTTTGAGACACGTTTTCTAGCACAGTTTACCCTTGGTCTCTGGCAGGTGGGCACTCACACCCACCATGATATATCTGTTATCACAGTGAGTGAAGTATAAAGTATAATCAAAATGCATGAAAAGTAAGTTTTAAATGAGGGGGAAGAAAAAAACACTTTTAGTTAGATGCACATGATAATAGTGACTCTTGGAATGAAAGGATAAACTTAGAAAACATAAATTAGATCTAATTTATGATTATGAGATAAAAATGCTAATACTTTTTTTACCTTACAAGTTATTTAAAACCAGTTAAAACTGTGAAAGATATGTATAGAAGTCTAATGAGAGTTCCTTTCTTTAGGAGAAAGCTGTCATTGCTCTTGGTTACATAAGAATCCAAGGACTTTATATAGCTCACTTTCATTTCTCATTGCTTGGCATTTTAAAAGGATGCACATGGGATGTTATTTTCACTGCTGTTGTGAGCCGTCCACAGCTATTAGCTCTTAATTGTCATCGACACGTAAGGCATAATCTATGTATTTATGGATATCCTGACCTTCTCCTCAGAGACTCATAGGAATCCAGAGTTTGATAGTATTTGAAGCACTATCTGAACTATTATTTATTCTTAGCTAAGGAGCTGTGGCACAGATGAATAATAACAATAGTGAAAATAGCAACAGTAACATTGGTTTCACTGTTATTTCAGGTGAGGAGAGATAACATTGAAACAATGTCCTGGAATGGTAGTTCATTACTTACATTTGGAGTTTGGATGACTCATTGACTCCATTGTCAGATGCTAAAATTATTCCCTTTCATTCCCTAATCATGAGCCCTTTAAGCTCCCTTTTACTTCCAGAACCTTGTTGTATTTCCTGAGTTACAGACTCTTGGAGCATGAAGTGACACTAGAGTTTACAAAAAATAAATAAATAAAATAAGGGGGCGGGGGGATTTTCTTCTTCTGCTGTACTTAGCTTCTTGGAAGAAAGTTACCAAATACTGCCATTTATACAACAAAGTTTGGAATTCAGAACCATGGGGTTTTGCTGGGAGAGAAGACATTTCATTATCTCCTGGGACCGAAAAAACAAAAAAACTCACAAATCACTTTTCCCTTGAGTTTAGTATCAGCAGCGTCGCCAGCAGGAGAATATGCAGCGCCAGAGTAGGGGAGAGCCCCCGCTCCCCGAGGAAGACCTGTCCAAACTCTTCAAGCCTCCCCAGGCCCCTGCCAGGATGGATTCATTGCTCATTGCAGGTATTGTTAGCCTTAGGACAATGCTGGTTCTAATAGCAAAAAAGGCCATAAAACCTAGTGTGTTTCAAGGGATCAAAGGTTGAATTTGAATCTAGCACCTATACTTCTGAAATGGACGAATTTGTAAGCCTGTTATTTCTTAGATATTGCAGTGCTCCATTTGATGTGTATGTGAACATTTCTGAGATGACATTATAAGCTTCCTAAAATGGAAATGAAATGGTTTTATTTGAGTTATCTTGCAAGAAAATGTTTAGTTTTATAATGCAGAGGATCATGTAGTTCAAGCCCCCTTTCATCTTCTGCCTTAACACTGTACACTGGTTACTTGAATTGACATTTCTGACTTGAAGAAAATATTGTCCTTATTTTGACAATGATTACGTGAATGTAATTCTGGATGAACTTTCCCTGTAGGCATTGAGCATTTGACGCCACCTTGAAGTGGTGGAATCCTTATGTTCCTAGGGGTTGATATATCTTACCTCTGTAGAAATATCGTTAAACTTTTCATTCAGCCAGTTGTCTGTGAAAATCTTACACAAAAAAACCTAGTCTTCCACAGATTTTTAATTTTTTTTGAATGAGTGAAAAATCCACATTTTATAAATTTTTTAGTCTGCATAAAAATTAAATTTGGGAAATCAAGAGATCATTCCTTCCTTAAGGACGAGTTCAGATAGGTTGAGTGCTATCCTTTCAAGAAATGTGTAGCTGCTGCATTGAATTAGATTGTTGGTTTTATGACATAGAAAGCTACCAGGAGGCCTTTAAGAGGATTCTGCTGTTCAGTTTGGCCCAGGGGAAGGGCCCTTAAAAACATTCCCAGAGTTCAGAACGAAAACTTCTGTGCCTGGTAACATCTGGATCAGGTGGGTCTGGCTGGTGTGTAGTTCTGTGATTTTATTTTGTTAATATCTCCTTTCTGCTTGCTGAGGCGAACCAGTGCTATTTTCTCAGTTATCTTAGTATACTATTGAACTGATCTGCATTATCAGTACTTTTTGATTGACAGCTAAAAACTTATGGTTAAAACCTTGTTTTGAAGTGTAGTTTTTCTTCGTTCTCCATGTAATCAAGACTGGAAATTTTCAGATGAAATTCTATATTTTGTTATTCCTTATGGAAAAATATGATTTTTTTTTATAAATTCTTGATTCCAAAAAATATGCTGGTGATTTCAGTATTGTACACAGTTTCTTGTTTGACTAGCATTCTTGCTCATTTTATTATTTGTAAAACATCATCAATCTCTTTCGCAAATACACAGGCCAGATTAACACTTACTGCCAGAACATCAAGGAGTTCACTGCCCAAAATTTAGGCAAACTCTTCATGGCCCAGGCTCTTCAAGAATATAACAACTAAGAAAAAAAAGTTTCCAGAAATGAAATTAACGTGGACTCTTAAGATTGCACCAGAGCAACTCTTGGAAGAAATACGTTCACATTTTGAAAAAGCACAGAAGGTTTCTTTCATGTAATTGCTGTCTTTGGCTGAATGTCTTTCTAGCCAATAATAAAATAAAACAAAATCTTGACTGTTTTCATTTGGTTTTACATGCGTTTATTTTGTTTGTACGTGCTTACTTCCAAAAGATAAAACAAATCTTCACCAAAAGCTTCCCAGGCTCTGACCTATAACTTCCACCACTGTTCCTTCTCAGGTACCATTTTTCAGCCATAAGGTCCAGGGCTGTGAATTCCAACTCCCACCAGAAGGCTGTGGCACCTAACTGTTATTTTATGCTTCATGTACTTGCCCAACACCTCTTGTCTCCAGGTCTGGTATCTTTTTACTGAAGGACTATTTTATATGAAAATGAAACTCATTTTGTATGTATTTTATTTAGGACTCCATATTTATCTTTCTATATCATGAAATGTAGTTCTGCTGGTGGTGAGTATTGTGGAAAGGAGAAATTGAGAGAAATAATATGTTGGAAAAATATATTTTATGATTTTATGCTTCACTGTTTATTGAACATGCTTCATTTGTGTAACACTAGAATTAGTGGGTGAACTACAAGTGGGGTTAGCCATCTGTGAGACTCTTGAAAAAGGGGACGAACAGACGGGCAGGAGAGTTCAGGAATTCATATTTTTCACATTGCCAGGATCAGGCAGCGGGATTGAAACAGGTTAACTTCCTGTTGCTCATTTCCTTACCAGATGAGAGGAGAAGTGTGGACAGGTACATTACACCATGGCTCTGAGTGAGAAGTTCCCTGGCATGCTGGAGAGTGGTGCATGTGTGCATGATGAGGAGTATACTCCAGGCAGCCTATCCACGGTGTCCAGTTATTGGTTGAGTTTTGCTTTAAAAAGCTTAAGTGGGACAGGAGTGTGGTTCATGTCTATAGTTCCAGCTACTCAAAAGGCAAAGATTAAGAGAATCTTCTCTTCCCCTTCCTCCCATTCCCCCTCCCCCAAATGTGGGAGAGCCCATCTCAGTTAATAAACCAGGAGTAGTGCTGCATATCTATAATTCCAGCTATGCAGGAGGCATGGGAAGAACAATCATGGTCCAGGCTAGCCAGGGCAAAAACACTATACCCTATCCAAACAAATATAGCAAAATATGGGCCTGGGGCATGGCTCCAGTGGTAGAGTGCCTGCCCTACCAACCGTGAGGCCTTGAGTAAACCCCAGTACTACCAAAGATTTTTAAAAATAAGAAGACTTAAGACCGAAAACATTCTAGAGTCCTAGTACTTACATATGTAATTATTTGGTATGGATTCCTAGAAGTGGGCCTACTGGTCAAGTGGCATGTAAATTTTAAGGGCTTAACCTATATTGCTAGATGTTTTCAAGAATGGTTCTGGGGATGCAGCCTAGAGATAAAGCACTCTCCTTGCATGTGCGAGACCCCTGCAAAAGAGCAAAAAGAAAGGTTCTGCTGATTTGCACTGTCGCCCATGGTGATTCTTGAGTCAACATATATTTGAGGGTGACTATTAGAGAAGTTATACTGATTAGCAAGCTTAGTGGACTGTGTTCATTTCTCTGCATTCTAATTGTCGAGATTTGGGAGTTTTTTTTTTTTTTCAGATTTAAACAATCACCCTCGAAGTATCAAAGAGCAAAATAAAAGGAAGGGAAATCTGTTCAAACATAACCTTAATTACTGTTTTTCTCATGGTGTGAGATATTTAATAGAATTGATTCAATTAGTGGGTTTTTTTTAAAGGTGTGATTCTTTTTATAATACCTTGTGATTGTTTAGATTCCTGTAGTTACTTGAGTACACACTTAATGGATGATTTCAGTAGTTTCGATTTACGTACTGTTGTGGGAAGAGGTGTTTAGGAAAATAAGTTGATGAAAATGAAATTGCCACAGTATGTAGTGTTAAGCAATAACTTCTGTTCGGTGTTTGATTCCATTGTTAAATTCTAGCAGTTTTTAGGAAAAAATACATGTGGGACTATCTATAAATATATGTAGTTTCTTCAAGTTAAAATGAGAAAAGATCATGAACAGAGTACCAGGTCTAATAAATCATTCACTTACCTATGAACAAAAAGACAGGAAAAAATAGCACTTGAATCTAATGGAAAGTGGAATTTGTTAAGAACTAAGAAAGTAAAACAATTGGAATTAACTCCATAATCATGGATAGTACTTCATAACATTCTATGAAAAACAACATTGTTCTTCATTTTAAATGGAAATAACATGAGTGAATGCATCTTCTTTAGCCTTCTTGAAGTCCTTATTTTCTTAAGTTTATGTATGTACAAATTATAATTATACATATTTATAGGGTACAAAGTGATACCATTTTTTTAATCCAATGAGAAATGACTCAGCCAGCCAAACCATCCATCACCCTAACCATTTGACATCTTTCATGATGGGAACATTTGGAATCCACCCTCCCAGCAACTTTGAAATGTGCAGTGCTCAACTATATTCTCCATGCTGTGTAAGTCTCAGAAACAAAACAAAAATAAAAAACCACTTGTGCTTTCTACCTAACTCAGACTTTTGTGCCCTTTGATTATCGTTTTGCTGTTCTGTCCTCCTCTCATTCTCTGGTAACCACCACTCCGACTCTGCTTCTATGAGTTCAGTTGTTTTAGATTACAAGTGAGCACATGCAGTATTTGTCTTTCTGTGTTTGGCATGTTTACTTTATATATTGCCCTCTGTTTCCATTTGTTTTGTAAGCAGTAGGATTTCTTCCTTTACGAAGACTTTGTAGTATTGTATTGTGTGTGTACACCACATTTTCTCCTTCCATTTGCCCAGTGATGGCCACTTAGATGGATTCTATAATTTGGCTGTTGTGAATAATGTTTCAGTGAACTTGGGTGAGCAGATATCTCTTCCACTGATTTAGAATCTTGGAAAGACATCCAGAAATGGAATTCACATCTTATTCTTCTAATACTAACCAAACTAGAATAAAATTTCTATCATGTTTGGAAGCTTGGAAATTGACATGTGGTTATCTAATGTTAATTAATGGAGCTTGGTGTGATTTCTCACAGCATCCAAATATTTAAATCTGTGTTTCTTCTAAAATAGTCATTGTTCAGTCACCCTTTCAATCTATGCTGCCATTGTGTCAGACTCACTTTTAGTATATGCTGGCATTGAACCTGATGTGGGATATTAGAATGTTTTATTGTAGTCATAAATAAACCCCATTTTTATAGTAAACATTTCTTAACAAAATTATGTAATTCATGATTTGTCAATTTTTCACCTTTATTTGTGGTACTGGGGCTTGAACTTCACCTTCAGCCACTCCACCAGCCCTATTTTTGTGAAGGGTTTTTTGAGATGGGGTCTCATGGATCTATTTGCCTGGGCTGGCTTCTAACTCCTGATTTCTGCCTCCTGAGTCACTAGGATTACAGGCATGAGCCACTGGCACCTAGTTCTGCTTTTATTCTTAGTGGGCATCTTTATTCTTAACGTATAATTCTATACATCCTTATCCTTTTTTTATTTAAGAAATATTTGTCAAGTACCTACTATGTATCTAGCACTTGTGATGTTACAGGTCACAGATTCTGCCCCTGGGCTTTTTAATATTAGCAAATGCTCTAAGAGAGGAAGATGGAGTCATAGTTCCTTAGAAGAGATTACTTCATGCCATTTCAGCAGAGTCCCTGAATGTACAGAAGGAGTGACAGTATTTAGATATGGAGTGAGCGGGCAGATGAAGATCTGGGTCTGTTAATATTGACAGAAATTATGGGGAAAGGAGTGCGTGGTTATTGCGTCCCACAGCCTAAGAACTCTGCAATGTAGGACCTTGAACCCATTTACTGGATGGTGACTCCCTGGCTGGGAGTCCAAAGCTCTTTGGGTAGATTGGAACAAGGTGACCTCCAATTATGAAGGTAGGGAGTGGGAGGGTAGGTAATCAGAGCTGCTGGCACAAACTGCTGTAGACTACTACCCACTGCCTTGAGACTTATTTACATAAATGGACACTCCCTATAATGCACTATGAGCCTGTTTGGCTCCACAGAATGGCCATGCAAAAGCCTCAGTGGTAATTTTAGTATACAGTCCATGGATGCAAGAATACTTTCCAAGATTCAGCACTCCCAACTTGGAGAGTTTGGAATATTTCTTAGGAGTTTGATCTATCCCAGACATTACTTTCTGAGCACCTGTTAAACCCTTGCTGCACTTGCCATGTGATCAGTTTATTATAGTCAGTTTGATTGCATGGAATTAGATGTTGAAGTCAATTGCATTTTCTTACAAGTTAGTCATCCTATTTGCAACCCTTTCATTGAGTTAATGGCCAGCAGTCTGTCAAAAGATAGAATACAGCCTCAGAGTCTTATTAACACTAGTGGTCCCTGGAATTCTCCTGAGTTAAGGGAGTAGCAAAGTACAAGTTCCTGCTTGCTTGGGTTTGCTGAAGTCCTTTTAAATAGTTTTCAGACACGTTTGGTTTCTTTCCATGTATGTTTCCCACCCTCCGTAAGGAAAAAAATTCGAATTCTCTGCAGAAGTTCTGTAAGGAAAAGATGATTTTTCTCTTTAATTCAAAAGCTACTGTTTTACGTTTAAACAAAAGTGGTGGGCTCCTTAACCACTTCATCTAACCTTTAATAATGAATAGTCCATTTCTAACTTTCTTATTTAAAGTTGTTTGTAGAAGAAAAATACTGCTTCCGGCATTTGTATCAACCTCAAAAACATTAAATCAGGTGTCACTTTTATTTCTTTCAGTATTTTCTTTATTGACCCTTCTCGGGGGCACAGCCATTTCTGTGGACTAGGAGGCAAAGGATTTGTTTAACTTTTAGCAGTGTTTACCGTCTCTGGTGGTAAATGATCCTTGCCTTCTCTTCTTGGACTGTAGTGTCTCTTGCCAATGTCTTAACTTTGTGTGTATTGGAAACCATTCTTATTTTGTCAAATCCCCTGGGTAATCTTTCCCCACCTTTGTTTATCTTGTCATTTGGCTTTCGCTTGCTTGACTCATTCCCAATTTCAATCTGCCTATGATTCTTTGGTTTTGATTCTTGCCCTTCTTCACTTTGAGGTTTTAAAATTGCATTTCTTTTTTTAAATAGTCACAAAGATTTTAATTTGTTCCCTGATCCAATCATGCATCTCCGAATGTCATAATTTTCTAATCAGACAGGCAAATGTCCCAATAACCTCACCTAGATCACAATGGTAAGGGTCTATTTTTCTCTTTGATGCGTGAAGCTCCCATTATTGCTAATGAAAGGTCTTCATGTGCATTAAGGGGAAGCTAGACTTCTAATGAGATACAGAGAGGAATTTGCAGCTGATGATT